GGCTTGGGTAAGTTCCAACCCCACTGCACCTTTCCAGCATGCTTTGTGGTATTACAGGTTCGGTTTTGGAGTCGAGGGTACGGTATGGGTCAGGAGTTCTTTTCAGAGTTCAGGCTTGATCTTTGCTTCAAACATGCTTCCGCGAAAGCTCGCGATGGTGTGCGCGAAAGGAACTTTGGATTTCCGCAAAGAGGTCATTTTGTTATGAAGGTAATATTGGGCAACGCCCATGTATCACTTGAACGAAGGGAGTGTTGTAGTGGGGGGAGCGGATTTGTCCCTAAACCCTAAACCGCGTGAGGACCTCATCGCCCTTGGTGGCGACATCATCAACTATCCTGAGGCCGCGAATTGTGGGGGGTTTTGGTTTGTGGTTTACCTAGAAAGCCCAGTTACAAGTAATAATGGGCTACTTTCACCCAAGTAGTAGGAACTTAGGGGAAAGTTGCCTATGATTATGGGTAAGTGGTTTTCTAGGTAGGGTCTTGGATTTGGGGTTTTGGGTTTGGGGCTTAGGCGGCTTAGGGTTCGCTGGAGGTATGGTATCCCATCTACATGCTTTCTGCTAAGCCTTGATAATGAAACATACCCTTGAAGGCCACGCAGTATAAGTTTTAGTGTGTTGGGGAAACCCTTGAAGCCTGCGCCGTCTGCCCCAGCACACTAAACCCTAAACCCCCAACACCTACTAACCCTAAATCCGAACCCTCCCGGACCCCGAAACCTACCACCCAAAGCTGAAAGCGGTGATCCTGCACCCGCAAGCCGTCTGTTCGAAATTAGGGCTTAAGCTTTTGGGTATAGGATCCCAGGTTTACTCCAAAAATCATGGGACTTAGTAACTACTTACAACTCGGATTATAACCCTACGTATAAGCTTGCTGAATGGCCCTTACAGGTGTTACCTAAGTTGCAACTAGTTGTATAACCCCAGTCATAAGTAGTCACTAAGCCCCACGAACCTCCAAGTACGGGGTTTTTGATTCGAGCGCATCCCACCCCCCTAAACCCTAAACCCTAAACCCGAAGACCTTGTAGGCCGACGAAGTCAGCTGGCTTGTGGATCAGCTGACCACCGCTGCTCCCGGAATTCCCTTCATCTACACAGCGCCCCGACAAAGGGATGACTGGATTGCTGTTAAGGAACTGGAATTACGTTACTGTCATGAGAAAGCCCTACTTACTATATACCCATATTGTGGTAACTTGCCCGCCTAAGCGTCCAAGGACCCAAAGAGTAGGGTCTTAGGGCCCAAATACTAGAATGTTAATGATATTTGGGCCCTAAAGCCCTATTACTTGGTTTAAGATTCTCAGAGCCAGATCAGGCCCTAGGATTCCGGAGGGCTTTGGGAGAAGTTTTTTTGCTTGAGGGCACAGAGCGTAGCTTTTGGGGCGTCTAGGCCCAGAGTGGAGAGTAGAAGCGCTCAAGGCTGTAGGGTTTAGGGCTTAGGGCTTTGGGTTTAGGGTTTAGGGGTTAGGGTTTAGGGTTTAGCCCAGGCTTCAAGACTTCAACTTCGAAGTATCAAGCCTAATTTGGTCAGGGCTCCAGGGCATAGGCTGCAGGATTCGGTCCTTAGGGTTTTGTTTGTTGGCCTCTTGGGGATTTGCTGGTCATTTGCCCTTGGGTAGGGTTTAGAGTTTTAGGGTTTAGGGTTTAGTCGTTGCAGTAAATCCTACCTGGACCCTCCAACTTAATTCCTTTTTTGGGTTTGGGATGGTTTTTTGGCTAGGATTTTTATTAGGACCACCAAAAAGGTACTACATTAGAGGGTCTAGGTAGACCCTAACACATCACGGCTTGGCCCTGTTGAGACTAAACATCCTGCACGACCCCATGTGGGGCGGTTCAGGCTTTACTGTTGGGGTCATACCTTGGCAACGATGGCATTATTGCTGGGAGGTTATGAGCGTCTACGGCCGATTAGGGGGATGAAAATTAGGGGTACAAATGTGAACCAGAGTATCAGTACATAGTTACTAAGTCGCATGAAGATCCGCGTTAAGCCTAAGGTTTTTTTCCGGCTTGGCTTTCAGGTCCCAGCTTTTAGAGCTTTCTATTCGTTGGGAGAACAAAGGACGAAGTGTTAGAAGGGCACCGTGACCCTAAGGGTCCAAGTACCGAATGATCATATAGTTCACCCAAGACCTATACTACAATTAATTACCAGCACCAAAATCCCTGGTACCTAATCATTGAGTACGTGGAACCTCAGGGTAAGTCATCTGGTGTGCATTCGGCGCGTTACACGGGCAGACATAAGCAAGCAAAAGCACGAAAGTAACCGTGCCTCTGGACCTGAGTCGTTTAAACACATGTGCAATTTGGCACAAAGACCTTGGGCCTCACAAATACTTATACATAGGTGGCAGTGGCCTTTGGACCCGAACATGTTGGGTATATAGGCCATAACTATGTCCATGTAAGCCGTAGACCCTGAACCGTGAATCATGACGCAAAATAAACCTTCGACCCTAGACCCTACACCTTAAACATCCTCAAACCATAAACCCCATACCTGACACCAAACCCCTAAACTCATGAGTTCCCCTACTACCCCCCCCAAGCCCCCCAAGGTTCGCCCCCCTAATTAAAGTTATTTAAGGATACGTGGGCCTAATTGAGGTTCATTAAGGGGGAACCCAGGGGGTAGTATAGAGTGGGGATAGTTTACACCCTAAACCCTAAAACCCTAAACCCCTAAACCCCTAAACCCCTAAACCTTAAACCCTAAACCGGGGGGTAGGGATTGTAGGGGAACCCAATGAGAAACCCTATATGTCCCAATAGAACTCCTAGATCCCCCTTAAAACCCTAAACCCTCCATGAGAAACCCTACTTGGGGGGTCAGGGGGCTTAGTAAGTGGGTTAATAAGGGGGATAACTGGGGTTACTATATGCGTTATAGGGGTTATTAACCTACTTACTAAGCCCCCCTGACCCTCCAAGTAAATCCTGACACCAAACCCTCAGTCCCGCGTTTGAGTCTGAGGCCGGCAACCACGATCCTCGGAGAATGCATGGTATGGGTTCTAGTCAAACCCCTAAGAGGTTGGGTTTAGGGTTTAGGGTTTAGGGTTCCGGGTTTAGGGTTTAGGGTGTAGGGTTCAGGGTTTAGGGTTTAGGGTTAATGTCCATAAACCCATAATAACAGCCATAAAGGCTATCACTTTGCATACTTTCAGGATTCTAGTGGTTCTACCTAAACCCCCAAAATAGCTGAAATCATGGCCCAAAACCCTTGAAAACAGTTCAAAAGGCAATTATTCTACATACTTTCGGGATTCAGGTAGTTACATTTGCTTTCGATTCTTGAGGATGCTAGAAGATCAGCAAGTGAGATTAGTGTTCAGGGTTTAGGGTTT